AGTAGTAGTCGCCGTCGTCGTCGTAGTAGTAGCAGTAGTAGTAGGAGCAGCAGCCGTAGCACGCGTTGGTGTACTGCTGCTCTGACCCAGTAGTCGCATCAATAGTAGGCATTTGGGCATGCAGCTGTCGGAATCACAGCAGGAATGCAAGTGGCTAGAGATGTCGTGAAAATTAGTCGCCATTCTACTACAGCAAACGACAAGAATGGACAGCCCCCCCAGAACATTGCCCGAACATTTACAGACGACCTCACGAGACACATTTTGTTTTCCCGTGTGGACAGGGCGCAGCTGACGACACGTCTACTCCGCCGAGAGCAGCTGACTGGGCTCCTCTTGGACGGCATTGTTAGAGAGACACCTCGCCGGCAACTGGCATGTCTTGATCGCTGAGCCCGAACAGATTTCAGTCCCAATTGTCCTAGCCTCATTTGTATCGTTTCAGTCCCCATGATGGCCATCAGAAAACATACTATTTTGATGGTGGCTACTGCGGTATCGTCGTTGCTCCAGCTATCACGTCCCTTCGTAGGCCTTGGTGCCGAGAATTCGCAATTCCGATTCTCCTGAGGAGCAAACAACGTGGTCTCTTCAAAAAGACGACCTACGCGGATTATGTTCGCCAGGCCACGTTTCTAAGGAGCTGGCTCAAACTCATTTCGGGCCGTGATCTCCACCCTGCTCAGCGACGTGAATCCACGACATCTGGGAAGCCAAGAGCTGCTACACTGCTACACTCAGAGCGTTATCTCCACAAACATGAGAAGCAGGCGCATAGTCTACTTTCAAGGCACGTGTGATTAGCAGTGTGCAGACTACATATGTGCTTGACTGTACATATATCTGTTATATGTAGTTGTAAACATAAGAGGGTTGTAGTCACTGTAGTTTTGCCATGTCGAGGATCAGTGTATTACATACTCAGTTTCATGTTCAAAACCAGCTGCTTGTCTCGCCATTATCTTCCCTATCACCAAACTCATTATCTCAGTCACGGTTCTGTGTACCTTTCCAGGCTCGGTTTGTGTTCCGCGTGAGTCGCGAGAGTTCGCCACTCGGCCGAAGAGGTTCGCATGTCGCAGTGCTTGATCGTCATGTATCAGGCTGCATCTAGACTTGTGTTGGAGGGTTGCAAGGTTTTGGGAATCGGCATGGTCGCGTAGTAGGAACCGCTGCAGCAACTTGCAGGACAATGCAGCTTTCAACTCGAGTCAGCGTTTCAAAGTTGCAACAGGAGGTTGGGCTTGGGACATGTTGCAAAAACAGAATGGTATGTTACTGCAGCACACTTAGACAGTAATTTGTGCGTCAGTGATCGACATCCCTTCACTCGGAAACACAATGAGTGGCTCTTCTTGAGCATAAATGAAGCAGCAAAATGCCGGTCGGTTTGCAGATGCTCTAGCTACTGTATCTCTAGCTGCTTGTCTTGCGCATATTCTGATTAAATGATGTTGTTCGCATCCTACATTGGCTGAAAGCTCGGTGCCTCGGGATGATAATCAATGACTTGGAAGGTTTTGTTGAGAGGCTTTTTAGATTGACGAATGGCCTCGAAGGGTGTCGAATCTGAGCCTTGCGCCGTTTTCAGTCGAACACTTTTTGAAGCCTGAGGCTCTAGTTTTCGGTGGGTAGTTGTTGCCCATGTGTCAGTTCAGGTGCATGCACACCATGGTCGCGAACTGGCGAATGCTGCAACGAGACTCGGCAACCAACACGTCGCGGTCGCAAGCGACTCTAAGGAAGCAACTGAGATATATTTGAAAAATGCTCTGCACCTCGATGTAGCACCATTGGTAGCTACAAGCCGTTAGCGCCGGCGAAGCTTCGAGCTGGGTCCCCCATGGCAGAGAGGACAACCACCAAAGGCCCCGAGCAGAGAAGGCATCCTTCAGCGAGCCCGGAAACAGAGCGCCGGTTTCCAGCCTACCATGCCTACCTGTCCCAACAGAGCAAAATCATTTTTCAGCCTGCGTAGTGCCCAGGTCTGGTACACTACAATGAGCCAAGACGCTGCGACGCAATTAATCAGATCAGCTGGTTTCGTCATCTCAGCGATGATGAAGCTGTCAGTTTTTCCCTACAGATCCTTGCGTCCCGTCGAGTATCCTCTCGATATTCTGAACTCCCAACCTTTTGCGCCTGTGTGTCCCACTGGGCAACTCTACAGCTTGAGTTTGAGTGCTGGCGGCTCACTATGAAGTCCAGCTGGAACTTGAGTTGGATGAGCTCGAGGAATTTACTCGCTCAAATTGTTTCTATCTACTACTATAGATCCTACATTGACAGACTCAGCTATAGAGCGCCTCATTCAAGACATCAGCAGGGCTTCCGGACATGATCTTTGGGCTAGTCCATGGTGAGACTGGCAAGGGTATTGACGAAGCTGCAAGTAAGGCAGACATCCGAGAGAGCTGGTCCTTCTGGGAAGCAAAGTCGGCAGTTGAGAATGGTCAAGAAGCCCGAATCATGAAATGACGGACGTCTTCCACAACCATCAGTGCATTTATGTTTATTCTCGCTTCGCAGCAACGGCTTGTAAGACAAGAACCCATCCGAGGCGACTGTGCTCATTTGCACGAGCGCGTCTGCAAGGTTGCAGGCTTCTGGGGCGACCGAGCCGCGTTACTTGGTCGAGAGAACTGGGGATGACTCTGTGATTCTGTTCGTACGAAATGCAAATTTAGCGGCTGGTGTTCGCAGGATATTCTCGGAACAAGGTTGTGGGGCATTCAATAGTTGCATGCGATCGGAAGTGCATAGTTTCGCTTCGGACCGTGTGAGTGTCCCCACGCCATTGTTTCCATACCGCAAAGAGGCAGAGAGAGAGAGGGAGAGCGAAGAGAGCAAAGCCAAGGTCCAACTCGCCGAAGCGCGGTGCTAGCAACGAGGTGGTTAGTGAGCAGCCACCTGGCACCTTTGTATTGTTGTGGTCTGAGCGTGGGGGTTGATTTGTTTTGACATCGGATCCTGCAGCCTTGGCTGCAGTGCCGCAAAATCCAATATGTTCGTTATGTAATGTTCCTGATGCAAGACCGGCTGAACTTGCAAGTGACGCTTTGGAGAATGGCAACAATGTCGATCTCGGCACGAAGACATGTGTTGCCACAGGGAGCAAGATTGTAGCATCCGTAAGTGCAAGACTCTCGCTATCAATGTTGTCAGAAGCATTAGCACTGGTATCGTGAGCACCCGTGACCTGGCCTCATTGAGACAGCTGCCTACACTATTCATTGATCGATTAGCCCTGCAATCTATATTGATATTGAGATGTCCCATCCCGAGATGGTCGGAGAAGTTGACGCAGCAACTCGCCGGGGAGGCGGCTGACTTTGGAGCGGCGTTGCTGCCGCGCTTGTCCGGCCTATCGTCAAAGCTCGCAACCAGAAGCCCTGCACTCATGAACCGGCTACGTAGATTGCGGGTTCAGCTAGAGGTTCAATGAACCAGCAGAGCCATGTACGAAGGAAGACTACGAAGCGATGAGCCAAGCACGTTCTTGAGTCCGGGCTGACTGTATGATCTAGGAATGGAGTTCCGAAAGCTTCACCGCTGAATATAGTCGCTGCATTGTAAAGAGTAAGTTAGACTGTTTGGGGGTTTATTCGTCTCACACGCATATGTCTGTTGTGTAGAGGCAGCTTGCTATCACAATTATTTCAACTCTCGTTATCATTATGCTTGCTTTGGATGCTACGACTACGACTATTGCGCATTTCCGTACTGGCTAATTCCACATGCTAGAACGTGCAACGACCTGTCTTGCGACTGAGACTATCCTAAGGGCTACGTCGGGCCGGGCCTGTGTGGCAAAAGCGAGTCGCCAGCATGGCAGGAGGAAGCTAAAAATATGGCCGATCCTTCAGAGAAGGACCGGGGCACGTAAGCCTGAAAAATGTGAACCATTGCTGTTGGGAACATGGGGCTTCCCAAGCTAGGAGTGGCTACGAGAAGCCCATAGAAAGACTCTTGAATCGAAAGGAGTTGGACAACTACTACTACAGCTTCCAGCTGCTTGGATTGCGACATGAGCACTTGCTTGGACAAATCGCCAGCTTCAGACTCAACTTTGAGCCTGCAGGTCTGACAATTCCTTTTGTTGCCATCACAGGTTTGCGACGATCGAGACAGCCAGACATAGCTGCTGGTATTGTTACAGGCGTATTTCATGGAAACAGCTACTCTCCACGTACTGTGTTTCGATGTTAACATGGCTTCATCATCATGATGACTATTTGCGGGCACCTTTCCCATGTCAAGTGTCAGCCACCTTGCAACGTCAAACCGCCAGGGATCTTCCGAGGGAGACCGGAAAACAGATGCAAAGCAAAGCTTCTGGCCACAGCTTGGCTGCTGGGAAGATTGTTTGTGAGAGCCTGTCCAGGCCAGGAGGATTCGTCAATTCTGTGCAGCCTGAGAGGCCTCCCTTCTTGCCGCCGCTCAAGCGGCCAACTTCGGGCCGAAGTCGACAGGGAGGCCCCGCACTCCCCCACACTCCCACATACTCCCACACTGCTGAGACGACGGCTCGAACAGCGCCCGTCTGAAATCATCCGAGGTCTTGCCTCAAAAAAGTTAGGACCTCCCTACAAAGAGCCGAGATCCGAGCGGTCCAAGCACCTGACACCTATAGCCTATAGTTCTTCGTTTCGACGTAACTTCTCACACCCCGAACCGGAAATCCTACAAAGACCCTGATTCCTGTGGAGGTCTCCGATCACGGATCCTCAAGGACAGGTAGCTCGGCAGCTCGAGGGCTTGCTATACAGAGAGTTTAGCGCATACACGGGCTTTCTGGGGACTTTGACTTTGACTTCTGCAGAAGCCTTTGGAATTCAGGGTACCTGTCAGGCCTCTCGTTCGATTTTGTAAGTTTCCTAATTCTGAGAGCAACGCGATCGTGTGCTCTAATACCCACTCACTCCCTGACTGCGGCGCACGCTTCTTAAATACCGTTTTCAGGATTCGCCGATGTTGGTTTCAGGGGCTCATCAACGTCGCCGGTCTACAGTAGTCGACTGTTGTCACTCGTGCCTTCCCAGGTTGTCACTCAGCTACTCGCACTTAGCATTACTGTGCAGATTGTCCTATCGCCTACGGTACATGTCCTTTACTTGGGGATCTGGGATTTATAGTCTGAAGCCCAGCGAAGCTTAAAGCCAAAGGGCTCATCGCCAGCATCATCAACACGAAGCAGTTCAGAAACACCCAGAACATGTGTTTCTTACTCAGGACTCAGGAGCCCCAACGCCAGGGACTGGCACACCGTGTACAGCACGATGTACCCAAAACCGTATTGAATTCATGCAGCCCGTCACCTGCATTATGATGTCAAGTGCCAGCTCCAAGGAATCTGTTGGTTTGCACATGTCGGGGTCGTGGGGAAACCCTCTTGCAATTCGGACTTCGGACCCCTTCCTCTGGGCCTTACACATCCTAAGCCCTCATGCCGCAATTCTTGAAGAACCCCTGATCTCAAGCTCCGAGAAACAAAACGTAATCCTGAAAAAGGTCGAACATTCAGCAGAGCACGTCCTTGCCCAGGGTAGCGGCGTTGGTGCCAGCAGAGCTTACGGCTGCCATCTGGCCCTAAAAAGTTGTAAAAAGAACTAAACTTGCGGTTCAGTATGGAAGTTCTTTCCGTGCCTTTTGCGCCTGCTTCTCTCTCGCCCTCTCTCTCTCTCTCCAAGATTCCGGTGTGATTTGAAACTTGCGGTGCCCACCACGAACAAGTGCCCCGGAGCAGCCCACCACCCCACACTTATTCCGAAGAGGTTGGACAGGCTAGCGAGCCATGCATTGGATCGTTTTGGCTGGCTTTCGCTCACGAGTACCAACATCATCAAGCAGCACAGCCCCTCTGTGCCTCCATAAGTGCAGCGGTGAATTATTTTGTTCTCCCAGTTTCTTCACAGGACTCCTGTTATGCTGGCGATTTTCAGTATGACTTAGACTGTTGTCCTGCGAATCTGCCTTGGATACCTTGGAAATACTTCTGCATGGCAAGGAAGAGCTGTCCGAGCAAAAGCCGCTCCCAGCGTCCAGCCAGCAATGGCACAAAGCATATACATGTAACATAAATCTATATCTACATAATATATATATATATATACACATATATATGTATGTATGTATGTATGTATGTATGTATGTATGTATGTATGTATGTATGTATTTATACAGTTGTACACATACACGTACATGTATACATATATATATATATATATAATACATGTAAGTGGATTGCTAATTTCATTATTGGTCTGTTTGCGTGTGTGTATATATACATATATATGTATATATACATATATGTATATATATATATATATGTACGCACGCAGTCTGCTGACATACGCACACACACAGACACATCGGCATGTGCGTACATGATGAAGACCATGTCGTCGGCATGATCTACAGTTTTACCTGTATGCCAGTCCATGCATCATTCATCTTGTTGGAAGGAATGTCTTTAGTTGCTTTAGTTGTCAACCTACTGTGTCCCCATGGGTGTTTACGTTTGATTGTGTGGTCTTATTGTCACTCATGGTTTCTTGGCCTGTTGTGTGCTGGCGGGAAACGCAAATTGCGCAGCATGCTATGCTATAGTGTTTTCTTGTGGTGCGTTCGCGCCGTGCTTCTCATTCGCTCTGCAGCCCATTTCCGTGGTGTTAACGGGTGCCAAAATGTCAATCATGGAATTGCCGTTTGCGGTTCAAGACGTTGTGAAAGGATCCGACGGAAAACGCATGCCAAACGAGGCTCCGAGGCACGTTTATCGTAATCCAAATCAATTCCATGGAACATATCGAGCCGCTGCTGCAGAGTCTCAAAAAGCAGTGTCACTCTTCCTGCGGAAGAACTCACACTATGTCGAAACTAGACCCACTTACACCTTCTCTTTGTTTGGTCTTTTCTGAGGTGCAGTATCACAGGCTGCCTCGCTGGGCCCGCGAGAAGCAGAAGCGTGATCGGCCGTTGATGTCAGGGCACCCGGCTCCCGCACACCAAGACTAGACTTCTAAAGCTTCTGTGGCTCTTGAGGGGTTGACATACGCGTGATTTCCCGTTCTACTGCTTTGGGTGGGGCATTCATAGAGTGGATTTGATGCTCGATCGCACCGGAGTCGCAGGGCTTCCTCGACACGCTTCATGCTGTGAGCGTGGTGTGGGAAAACTGCAGTGTTTGATTTCGGATAGGGTCCATGTGTGCTGGAACTCCGCAATGCTTGCCGAGCCCAATGTCCTAGTAGGAAGTCCTTGATACGTTTAGAATCTTTGCCCAGCGATTGCAGGTCTTCCTCAATGGCCAAGTCGCAGACAAGCCTTTCAAGGCCGTGCTCCCTCATTCTTCCGTCGAAGAACAGAAGCATTCTGCTAGTACTAATTACTCCGCTTATGGCTCCGACTATATTGGAAGCATGACTGCCTCTTGACAGACATGTTGTCATTACTGTCGATATTCTCACTCTCATGACATGTGCTCTGTCATTGTCAATATCATATGGACGGCAACTGCTTTTTAGCTTCTTATCCGTTACTATCATGTCAAATGTTGTTTGGCAATCAGACCCGTTCAAGAACCCTGCTGCTGTTTTGGTTTCTGTTCCATTGGCAGCACTTCGTGAACTAAATGTGCCGATGTCACAAGACATTCCATGCTTCGCATTTCCTCCTGGGGTGCCAAAATGTCGTAAAACCCGGAGTCAAAAGCACAAAAGCACACGCCAGCTCGAGCACCCAGACATGTGCACGCGACTTGCTAGTAGTAGTCGTAGTAGTGGTAGTAGTAGTTGTAGTCGTAGTTGCCGTCGTCGTGGTAGTTGTAGTGGTAGTGGAGTGGTAGTGGTACTTGTAGTGGCTGTGGCAGCGGCAATGGTCGTGGTCGCAGTCGAAGTCGTAGTAGCAGCAGCAGCAGCAGCAGTAGTAGTAGTACTAGTAGTAGTACTAGTAGTAGTAGTCGTCTTCGTAGTAGTAGTAGTAGTAGTAGTAGTAGTAGTACTAGTACTAGTACTAGTACTAGTAGTAGTAGTAGTAGTAGTAGTCGTCTTCGTAGTAGTAGTAGCAGTAGTAGTAGTAGTCGTAGTAGTAGTAGTAGTAGTAGTAGTAGCAGTAGTAGTAGGCGCCGCACCCCCCTTACCAACCACCTCTGCTACAAACTCTCTGAAGCGCACATCCGTTTTACTCGGTATTTACGGTACGTTCGTCGTGCCATACCACTTCTTCTTGCCTCAAAATCCACTCCGTGACTTTGACAAATTCGGCTTCGGATTGGGGTTGGGGAGGGGGGGTTGAGGGGGAGGGATGGGGGGGGATATTGACGTACCAGCAGGCTGAGATGGCAAAAGAGCCGCTTTACTCGGTATTTACGCTACTTTCGTGATGTCGGACCATCTTATATTGTCACCAAACCTACTTCTGGACTTTGTGGACTTGACCTTAGAATTTCGGACGGCTTTCGGCGAAAACTCGAAATTGGGTGGGGGGATGCTTTTTTCGGGGATGATCACGACACTGTTTCGCGGACACCCCGAACAATATCCCCGCACCCTAGCACGCACACACCACACACTACTTCAAAAGCAGACCGGTCTGGGCTTGAGGGGTGTTGGCGAGCCCCTCCCATGTACAGCTGGCATCTTTGTTTTTGATGTTTATAAGATGTTGCGCTTCAGGTTGTAGGAGTGTTAAACCCTGCTTGACAGCACCTGCGTTTTGCACGGTATTCGCAGCGTTTTCGCACTATCCGACCACCTGTGGTTCAGCAGTTTCTTCCTCGTCGAATTTGCGACTCCAGCTGCTGTCGCAGTTTTGGGGCCTGACCCTTTGCAACCTCACCAGCTGTGACAGTTAAGAAAAGTGAGCTTCTGCAAGTTCTGCAGCTGTCACAGATAAGGAGCCTGAGCCCCTGCATCTTCTGCACCTGTCGCAGTTCGGGAGCCTAGAAGCTGCCACTGCCCAGCCCGGATGGAGCAAGTGTAGTTGGGAGGGGGGGGGGTGGCTAGTAGTAGTAGT